AGAAGAAGAAGAAGAAGAAGAAGAAGAAGAAGAAGAAGAAGAAGAAGAAGAAGCAGAAGAACAGCAACAGCAAAAAAAACAAACAAAAAAAACAGCAAGGGGGGAGGTTCGGTTCTGTACAGTTCTGTACGGCCAGAGAGGAGTTTTTATTTTTGAACCTCGTGCCGTTTCCTCCTCCTCATCATCATCATCATCATCATCATCATCATCAACATCATCATCATTACCATCACCAGCGGTACTTTCGGAGATGGACGTTGAACTCGAAGGTCCCACCCCTTAAATAACATCCTAATAATGTTGATAGGGGTGTTAAACATATATACTATTTTCATCATCATCACCATCATAAAGTGCCGGATCTGAAACAAACATCGACGATCATGGTTCCCATTCATCTCTCTTCTCGTTTGCTCTCAAATATCCCCCATTATCCTAGTTAAGTACAGGAAGAGAGAAAAGAATGATAGATGTTTGATAGGAAAGAAGGGGCAAACCCCACCAGAACACACGCCAACCACCCACTAACGATATGTAGAAAGTTGAAAGTCTTCATGTTGTGCTGAAAGAGGCATCGCACTTAAACCAGACCAGCTGATATTCGTGATCATACAAAAAATAATGAAAAGTACAACCGAAGTTTTCACAAGAGATTTATTCTTTAAACTTGAAAAGATTACAAGCTTCAAATACACATCTAAGAATAATAGTTATAATTGGTCCTTTATTATATTGGAATGTCCAGAAAGGAAAGAAAGACTGATATAAATAAACAGAAGAAATGAAATACAAAGTTACTTTTGCCTGAAATAGTGGTTCCCAAAGATGATGGCTGGTGAGTTAAGGAGTGCACACATCAAAAAAAATATTGGCTCCTTATCTTTTTTGCACCATTGATAGAAAGTAGGGGAATAGGTTGTGAAATTTGAAACCTAGCTCTGGGGTCCTTAGTTCAACAAGTTGGAAAACCACTGGCTTAGGTAGTTAGTTCATACATGAATCAAGGAGAGAAGAGGGAAAAGGTAGAAATAACAGATAATTCAAAGACTGATGACAAGGCTAAAGTATGGGAAGGCGGAGTTTTAGAGAAAGAGGGAAAGAAAGGGAGAAAGGGACATGATGGGGAGAGAGAGAGAGAGAGAGAGAGAGAGAGAGAGAGAGAGAGGGGGGGGCTGAAACATACAACAGGTGACATTTATTATCTTAAAATAAAAAGAAAGATTTATTATTTTTAAAAATGTGGGTGTTTTTATAAGCCCGTATCTACAAAGTTTAGATCGGTTAGGTCTAGGAGGCGAACTTCGACGCTGTCTGTCAGGTCCAACCCGCGCTTTGAGAGATACAAAGTCCCAGCAAATGACCGAGATACTCGTAAAAATCCCACCCCCTCCCAAACCACTTGGGAATTGAACTTGTTTCTCCAGCGTGTGACAGTGAATCGCCGAGCCGCTAGACCACACACACACACCGGTTAGTCAAAGTCTACTGGGCAGGATACTTTCCTTGTGACGACCGCTTTACGAGCACGATCGATCACGTCATGGGTACACTGCTTATGACGTTTGGAAATAACGAAATAACACAAGAACCACCCCCCCCCCCAAAAAAAAAAAAAAAGAGAATAGAATCCCTCTTTCTTTTTAAACAATCGTTCCGGAACTTATAGACAGGCGTGGAGAAAAAAAAAAAAAAAAGAGAATGTTTTCAAATGAAGTTGTGAGATATCAACAAAACAGCTCCTTTTTCAGTTTTTTAAGGAAAAAAATAGACCTAGTAATATAACATAAAAAAAAAACAACCCCCCAAAAATACAACAACCCCCAACCAAAAACACAAAAAACCAAAACAAAACAAAACAGCACCCCCCCTAACCCCCCCCAGAAAAAACCAAAACAAAACAAAAACGACTACAGCAAAACATGTCAGCTAGAGCGCCAAACCGCCGTAAACTACAACTCAACAATAACAACTTTGATCAAACTCAGAACACCGACCTCTGTGCTATAACGGTTAGGTCCTCGACATCGCATACAGGAGACCTGAGTTCGGTTCCCCAGTGTCTCGGTCTCTCTCTACTGAGATGTTGCATCCCTCTCAGCCCATATTGGCACCGACAGGCAGGGTCGAATGCCACCAACTTAGTGATCTAAATTGTGTTACTTAGGGCATTAAAAAACCACCTTCATTTAGAATAAAACAATACAAAACAACCTCCCCCAAATAAAAAACAAAAACAAATCAAACAAACAAACAAACAAACAAACAAACAAACAGACAAACAGACAAACACATAAACAAATTTTAAAACAAAACCTACACCCAACAAGAAAAACACATAACCCATAACAACGACAACAGCAAAACCCAACCAAACGCCCCCCCCCCACCCAAAAAACCCTCCAAAAACAAAAAACCCCCAACAAAATCCCCCCCAAAACAACAACAACAAACAAACCCCTAACAAAAACAAAAAACAAAACTCCCAACAAAACAACAAAAGAACCCCCCCCCCCCCCCAAGAAGCCGGTACCTTGAGCGTAGGACAGCTTGACTTCAGTGGTTGGAAAAGGTAAAGCGGTGACGGGGTCGAAACACTCAAAGCCTGGCCGCAGAAGGATGTCCGGCACGTTGACCTCCGTGCACTGGCCGGAGAATAGCTGGTACATGATGCGGGCGACCCTCCGGTGGGTCAGTTCTGAGGTCTTGGACGTCCCGTCCTGCAGGAGGTCACAGGAGCAGGCTACGTCCTGGGCACAGAACAGGTAGTTCTGGTACTGGCTGGTGGGGGGACTCTGAGGTGAAGGATATGTTCTAGGCTCGGGAAGTCCCAATCTGACGGTAAGAAAATAATAATTATACTCTAACGTGGAAGGTTACCATTGGCTCTCTACGAGAAGCCCACATCATTTAGGTTACATTACATACGTGGATATATTTATAGATATGCTTTGTCTGGATTTTACTCCAGATTCAATGGATTATGTGAGCTGCTACGTGTCGAGTGGAGAAATGGGATTTCACGCACCACCCGATATTGTTACGTGCTAATTTTTAATCCCCGGATTATTTATGGTGTGTGTGTGTGTGTGTGTGTGTGTGTGTGTGTGTGTGTGTGTGTGTGTGTGTGTGTGTGTATGTGTTGTATGTATGAGAGTGTGTGTTTGAGTGAGCACGTTTCTGTGTGCACACATGTTTGTGAAAAAAGGGGGTGGGGTGGGTATGCTTTTTCTGCGAGGAACGTTGATTTCTGATGATTTAACTTATAATTACATCATACATACACATGTATTGTACATAAAAGCATAAATGCATTGATAACAAAAACATACTTAAACACACACAATATTTATTAACAGACTATACTACAAACACGCCATTAATGGTCGCCACTGTGAAGCGTCCTGCTGTTCGTTTTCTTTTCATTTTTTTTTTTCAATTATTCTCATAGTGTCTTACTGAAGATCACACCCCAGTCTCGTCGAAGAATAAGTCTGAACTCATTAATACGAAGCCACCCGAGACACCACTGTGTGTATGTCTATCTATCTATCTATCTATCTATCTATCCATCTATCCATCTATCTATCTACTCCTCTCTCTCCCCCCCCCTCTCTCTCTATCTCTTTCTCTCTATCTATCTATCTTTGTATCTATCTATCTATCTATTTATCTATCTGTCTATCTATCTATCTATCTATCTATCTATCTATGTATGTATGTATGTATGTATGTATGTATGTATGTATGTATGTATGTATGTAT